AATTTTAAATTAATTAAAATTTAATATAATTTTTAGATGTTAAAAAGTTAAAAAAAAATAAATATTTCGTCTAAAAATAAAAACCATTTTCATTTGTCAATTATGCTTTTAAAGTTTTTCATTTTCTAATGAATATAAAATGAAACACTATTTAAAAAAAAAAAAAATTCTCTTGCCCAACATACAACTTAAGAATTCATTTGCAGCCCATAATTACCTGAATCAGTCAAGAAACGGCATGTTACATGAGACCATTTGTTCAAAACTTTAAACTGAAAACATGTAAATGAGACCATTTCCAGTCAAGCATCCATATAATTTGTTCAAGCGTTCATTTTTGAATCATGTTGAACAATAAACAGCATGGTGCACGAAACCATTTCCGGTCAAATCTGCACATTACATTTCCAGACTCAAGTGCACCGTGAATAATTACAAATTTTTGATTCTCTGTAGTAGTCAACTGCCATGATGACTAAAATATGTACAGCTCTCCTACATCTGCACCTCATTTAACCTTTTTACCAGGATTGATAAAAATTGGGTCTTTTGAAAGGAAGAACAGAACGTACCACATGAAGCTGGCATAACAGTTGCGTTATTGCCTCAATTCTGTGCAGGCGAAATACACAAGAGGGCCTATATTTATGTTTTTTGACCTTGAAATGGGTGCTCTAAAGCAATCCTGTCTTTGGGTATCTCCAACTGTAATTCTATCAGACAGTTAGCTTGGCGATTGCATTTCTGGATTTGAGAAATAAGACTTTGGTTCGTCAATGTCAACACCATCCTTGTTTGGGGAGGAGCCAAACTGCTGCCTTTTCTTTCATGGCTTCCTTCTCCAACTTCTTTTTCTCAGCATCAGCCAGCCTTTCATTCTCCTCCCGTGCCTTTTTAAACATCTTGACAAAAACTACCAAGATCTGTGTCACTGCAAATATAAACAAGAAGAAAATAAATTGATAATTTGTTATCAACTATAAACAAAAGCATTTATAGTAAGATGACGCTATGTAACTGCAAGATCTATCATAAGCAAATTAGATATTTTTATACCTGTTTGAACACCACAAGTACTTCTATATATTGAAAAGAAAAATTAGTAGAGGATTGAAGTAATCAGCATTTCATTGCAAAGGAAAAGGAATGATACAATTTCCATGATTCTTGCAAAAATATAAAATGTAATCTAGCATTGATTCGTAGAGAATGAAGCATGACATATTCAAAGTAAAACCAAGCACGGGGAATAGTGTCTCTTACCATGCTCAAAAGGGCATGGGGCTGGATCCTCCCCATAGTACTGGGACAATAAATCTGCATTTCTGCTGTGTAAAAAAAATACCACAAGAATGTAACCAACCGGCGACCAGACTGCAAAGTGAGAACTGTAAACAACCAAAAAACTATGAGGGTAGGGTAGTCACCACTTCAGAATACAAGGAGATTAGTGACCTGATTTCAGCTCCTGCAGTATCAAGGAAATTCTTCAACACCTGGAACAGGTAAAAAAAAAAAGGAAAAGAAAAAGAAACCAGTACTTGAGATCTTAATGACATACATGTGGAACACAAGGAATCTAAGCTAACTAGCACCACAAACAGATTCTTCATTTCTCACCTTCTGAAGACTCAGAGAAATGGCACCATCATTCTCGGAAGCAGCAAGTTCTTTCTCAACCTTTTCAAGACCTTTACTCACAGCTTGCATTTCTTCAGCAAGATTTTTCAATTGAATCTAACCATGTACATGAAAACCAGAAAGTTAGAAAGAAGCAATGAATCACTTTACTCCAGCTGCTTAAGTTCTGGGTCCCTTTCAATCTATGAAAAAAGAGTATGTCTTATTTAGTTCTTGAATCGCTTGATGCAGTAAATTTTCATCTTCATCACAATTTTTTCCCCTTCTCTTATCATGTGCAATATTGCAAATGGAGGCTTCAGAATATATTTACCTCTGCTCGGAAGCCTATTGGATACCACTCCTTTGAGTCCCAAAGCACGTTCAAGTTCTCAGACTGCAGCATCAATATGTTGGATCGAATAAATGCAGTGTTGAAAATTACACGAAATATCATAACTTCCCTTTCCGGATCCAAGTCCAAATGTACACACTCCAGTACAACATCCCCTTGCACCAAACACTGGATGTCAATTTTAACCACATCACAGTCTGCCTGAAACAAGAAAAGATCCATATAGGCACCAGTTAATTCACAATTTCAAATTGTTAGGAACGGTTGAATGAAGAAATTTTACCTGGCAATAATGTCGAATGGTCTTCCCCTTCTTGGACATGGAAAAAAGCATCTGGGTTGACTGCCCATCTTTGGTATGAAGATTCCTGCCAAAAATGCGAATAATTGGCCTGCACCCATTCTGGACATTGAAACTTGGAACTGCTTGAATTATGACACAGTCCAAAGAAAGAGCTTGCTCAGGAGGCGGCCACTCAGGAGCTATATTCCTTCTTGCTACATACTGAAGATAACGAAGCTGAGATGGAAGTGGATTTAAAGGTGATAAGAGCTGCAAGAAACCTTTAGGAGCCTCACGGTTGACAACTTTAAGTGTCTTACGCTCTCCAGTATGCGACTTTCTAAAAATCAAGAAACTGGCCAAAAGAAATGCCAAAAGTTGCCAGCCTCTCCTCTCCCAATGAAGAAGAATGATATTCTGATGATTCCCGCGTGACAGCCAACTTTCACAAACACGGAGAAAATGCTGAATCAAAGAAAACGGAAGTAGAGAGCAACCCTCATATTGTCTCGGATAATCCAGGACAGTAACATCATATTGACATAAAATTGCTACAAACTGACTCGGTTTGTCACCCTCACGAAAGTTTGAAGCAAGAAATGATGATTCTGAAAATCCTTCATGCAATTCACTTACAATTTCACCAAAATTTATTTGGTACATTCCTTCTGGCAAGACTTCAGTGCGAAAACACGAATCGAAAAACTGACAAAAATTGCAGCATATTAAATACTTGGTAAGCAATTATAACACACAAAAAAAAAAAATGCAGTAATGATAACAATTTGCATACTATAACTTGAGATTAATAAAATATAAGATTTTCTGAGACAGGAAATGGAATTAAGCATGAAGGTGCGAACCTGAGACAGAAAAGGAAGTCGGAGGGAGCCTAGAATTCGCGGAGAACCGGAGAGAGCGTCGGAAATCAAATCAGGAAAGCTGGTTGTGCGCTGCAACGAGCTGCTTTGGCAATGGTTTAAGAGCTGGTGAAGCTCGTAAGCAAAAACCAACATTTATTCCCTTACATTACAAATTTTACCGATCATGCTCTAAATTTTCAATTTTCCAAGCGGCAGCGGTTTTCCACACAGCAGCTTTATAAAATCCATAGGCCCAATGTAACAAAAACTTTACAATTTGCCCAAACTGGAAAGACTTTGCTCCAGCCCAATAGTTTAGGATTTTGTAAAAAAAATTTTGGGTAGAAGTTTTAAGACGTATTTAGTTACCAACAATGCCTAATCTAGCTTTTTTTTTTTTTGAACATGTAAACATGGGGTGAGATCGAAACAGGCCTGAGGGGAAAGGGCCAATGCCCGAGGGGAAGGGGAGATTGCACATTTTTTTAATATAATTTCGAAGGATCAGTTTTAAGTTATTTTGAATAGTTAAAAATTTTAAATTTAAATTTTAAGATAAATAAAAAAAATTTTAAAAATTATTATTTATTATATAATATAACTAATCATATAACATGCAAATTACAAAAACAAAAACCAATAATTGAACTTCGGTGGATAGAAGTAGCGAATTGCCAATAACATGTGTGGTAATTTGCTAACCCAGCAAGCATGCACCCTATGCTAGGTTGTACTTGTTCAAAAACTAAAAATAAAAATAAATAATTTACTCGGTCAAAAAATACATATTGGCATGGACCGTTCAATCAAGTATGTAGTGAAATACCAGTTAAATAAAATCTGACTTATTGATAGAAATTTCAATGGTTTGAAGCAATTGACCGTCTTCACAAACTCTACAAATACATCCATTTCCAGCTCATTCATGTTAGATGCAAGTGGAAAGGTCTTATTCAATATTCAGACATGATGCAAGAGTAACACACTAATAAAGTAACAATAATAAAAAGTACAGGAGATTATTCTAGGCTTGAACTGTTTTTCAGCCACGTTGGATTGAGGCCGGATAGTATTAGGAGATCAAGAAGATCCAGCAGCAGCAACAGCAGCAGCAGCAGCAGCAGCTTCCTCCTGCAACTGTTTTACCTTTGTGATATAGTCACTCATTGCTTCATCCTTGGATTTCCCTGAAAAAGGAAGACATGACCAAAATTAGCGGACGTTAGATGCACTAATTGTGATGGGATCAGAGCATCTCGCTTGGTATAACTTCAAAATCCACATTCAGTACCTTCAACAGCTTTCCATGCATCCCACTTTGCTCTATCCCTCATGTTGAGCATTCCGGGACGGCCTGAGAAGTGGAAGCAAAAGAGTAATATTAGTGAATCAATTTCGAAGGAAAGACTACAAAAGATGTTCTGTTTTTCTCGAATTGATCAAATCCAGATATGTTATGAGAAGACTAATATACAGACTGAGTTTGATACTAACTAGTATTCACTGGTCCAACAGTGGCTTGCTTGTACAGCCCATACAGAATTAGCTTGTTCTCGTTTGAAGTATTCTCAGGAAGGGTCTTAGCTTTCTCAGCATACTCTTCAAATTCCTCCTGTGCATCCCCAAACCAGACACAATGTAACATCAATACAAGACAGCAAGAGTCAAATAGCAAATTTGCACAGGAGACTTCTTGTAAACTTAACCCATGAACAGGGACAAAAATAAAACCTTAAAAAATGCGGGGACATGAAAATATCCATTGATAGAATGATTGTCAGAAACAAACAAAACACCACAATTACGAATTCGAATCAACTGAAACCCTCTCTCAACCACTACCCCAGGCTAATTCAAGAAGATCACTGAAGCAAACTTGATCAATACAGTGAAATAGATATCCTTATTAAAAGAAAAAACGAAAAACTGTTTTGCAGTCCAGATGATATTGTACTGCAAAATAATTATCCTTGGACTGGGAGAAGGACCTCTTATATTGAGTCCTCCTCGGCTCCTCCCCTAGATCCTATTTTGCAGTCCGGACTGTACCAGACTGCAAAACAGGAAACTCAAGAAAAAATGTAAGAAAATGCTTTAAAGGACACAAGATTTTCCTTTTTCTCAATCCCATCTGTTTTCCTGTTACTGTAATAGGAAAATAAGCATGCAGATCCAAAGAGAGTAAACATTAAGATCTCTAATTCAGTATTAACCTCCAAGTTCCAACATTTCTTCACTATAGATAACTTAAACCTCCATTATGAAATTAAAACAGAAAAAATAAATTGTTTCAAACATCAACAAAATCTGTAAACTAACAACCATCAGGAAGATCCGAGACATGAAATGGGGTATCAAATGCATTCAATTTCATTCACTGGATTTCTGAACAAATCTAATTACAAAAACATCATCTTTGAATTTCACGAAGCATTCAAAGATTAACGAGACACTGCAAACATAAAATCGATCTCGAAAAACAAAAAACTGACACAGGATTTGAGAACAATCAACTTACCTTCAAACCCATAATTTACTTTGTGCTGCTAATTTTTCTCTGGAATCTGGATTGAGGACTGCAGGAACGTAAAGCGAGGAGCAAATTAAATAAGGCGAGAGTAATGCATGAAAATTATTTTTAAAAAATCGATCATTTCAATGTGCATATTCTTCCTACATCTGTACTTGTGGTGTGGCATGTGTTGGCTCGATTTTTAAAAATCGTTAATATCAACGCGCATATTCTTCCTACTTTTGTTCCCGTGGTGTGGCATGTGTCGGCTCGTGGGGGAGTTGCCGAGCTGTGTGGGTTAGGCCTTATAGCCTGCATGTAAAAACTTGGGCTATCTAAAACATCTAGACCTGTCATATGCGGAGGAAGCCACTAATTTAAAAACTTTAATTCGTAATAAGGTTGAAGATGTAATACCAAGTAGTTAAATTTAATGTATTAAAGAAAAACAGGCTGTTGCCAACAATCCTTCATAAATAGATGATCTATAAGTGCCATTACAGATGAGTATGATTGTTGCATGAATATAGAAAGGAAACGCTTAAATCCTTTAATTAACATGGCATTCAAATTAAAGTTCCACATAACCACTAAGATATTAGACAAATTGATGAGAACATTTTCGTGATCTAATGATTATTTCTTCTTTGTAAAAAACTTTTCACGCGATGTTTTGATAGGTATGAAATTCAAATCCTACCCTTAAACATTCCAAAAAAAAAAAAAAGACATTAGGTAAATTGACAAAGGCAAAACCCTCAAATATGCTACTCAAATAAGAGGGCAAGATGAATTCACCCCCCAAAAAAAAATGTAAGAACAAATTACTTTTTAAAATTATCAATAAAAATAAATTACTTATTATTTAATGTGTGATATCAAAATTCTATTTACCACCTAAGCATTTTTTTAAAAAAAACTAATATGTAACAACATTACATGTTAAATAATAAATAATTTATCTTAATAAATAATTAAAGAGACAATTTATCCTTACATTTTTTTGAAGGATAGCTTTGTCCTTACTCTCTTATTTAAAGGGCAGATTTGGGGGTCTTGCCAATTAGCAAAGTACCAAAGAAAAGGTAAGAAAACATTGGACTGATGAGAATCTTGAACACCAAAATAAGAAAGTTAATTAACAATACTTTTGGAGCCAACTGTAAACATATATAATATGGTCTTGAAAAGGAAATAACAGAACTACAACAAACATCATGGCACAAAAGCTCAAATGATTTTCTTGAAGCTGGAGGTGACATCTACCTTGCCTTCAATTATTAAGGTATCATTCACTAGGAAACCTTTTAATGGGTCCTTAAGGTATGCCAGCGGCATGAAGTTTGAGTAACCCCAGCTATCAGACGAGCTAAAAAACCAATCAGCAGCTGCGAAAGAAGAACAAAAATTAAGTAACTTTTATGAACTCCTTCCTTGGATAATAAAACATGAACCTTAGTAAGATGTCAAGAATCAATCTTCACCCATCTTAGAACAATGTTTGCCATTAACCTGATCCTTTACTAGGATCGTGTACTGACCACAGACTTTCTGCTCTGGTGGAATGAATGTAGCATCATTTAATTTCAGAAAGAGAGAGAGGCTTTCATCAGCTCTTGAATCCCCCTTTGGATGGAATGATAACGACCTGAGTTGATCATCAATAAAAAAACCTTCTTTATGAAAATGCCACAAGCAAGGATTGGATGAATGATATAGAATTTATTGACCAAACAAGAGCATATATGGTATACCATTTCCGTCCGCCAGCAATGAAAGTCCTAGAATCAATCACTCCCTCTTTCAAGACAGAAAAGTCATCAATTTTCCAAGTGATTCCCTCATGTTCAGTCTTTAACATTGACAAACACTCACCATTTCCAGAATAATTTTCATTTTCAACATACACTTCTGCTCCAAATACACAGGCATCTCCAACAAGATATCCATTAGAAGCATTTATGAAATCAGTGTGCAAAAGTAATCGCGAAAATCCCCACTCAGTTTTCATAGCATGAAAACGTCTAGCCTTTGCACTGGAATCTTAAATAGAAAACGAAAAAAGTATAGACTATAAGTTACTATGTGAAGAATTTTAGGAGCAGAGCTAAAACAGGAAAACAAAAATCTAGCACCACAGTCACCAATTAAGAAACTCTTACCTTCAAAGGTATAATACTTGTCTCTAATTTGATCATACACAAAGAGTTTGAAGTTGGCATCTATTATCCACCCAAGAGGTAAAGTATCAGTCTCAACAATCATCAAGTAAAGAGAAATGTACCCACACCCATCATTTCCTTTGTCACCAGGGCAAAGAACCAACTTCCTTTTACATAACAAAAACACATCCATCAGCCAACTTTACGATTCACTTTTAATGCAATAGAGGTGCCTTATTATTTATTAGAAAAAAAAAAAGAAAAAAAAAAAAGGAAAATGAAACTGACCATTTGTAGCCCCCTGCTTTGAAAGATAGTGATTCATATCGTCTCTCTCTAGTCTTTTGAAGTACTTGAGACAGGAGTGAGAATGATTCGACCCTCAACAGATAGTGTGCTGGTGGTTTGTCTCTCACCGAAGCAGTAAATTCTGTTTGTATCAAATAATTAATTCCAGTTTAACTTCAGAATATAATGACCAATAAAACATATTAATTTCACAAAAAGGAAATGGAAAAAAAAAATCCATTTATTTTACTTTTTACAGTAATGGCTGTTAAGGGATTTCTTCTGATTTCCTCACAATTTGAAGCACAGAAATTGCAGCACATATCAAATTGAACCATACAAGTATAACTGCAAAGATTATACATTGAATTGAAGATGGAGAAAAAGGAAGAAATTACCAAGAGTGTCATTACACAGAGAACTAGTAGAATCACTGCTGTCTAAATTTACTAACGCCATGGAGCTTTCTTCTGTTGCTTTCACTTGCATGTAACTTAGCAACTATATTATGAGAGACTAAAGGATTTGAGCATCAAGCTTATGGGATAAAGCACGGACCTTCTTCGTTTCTTGGCCAAAGAAATCCTCAATATTTATGGAGCAAAGCTTTTGATATTCTTGTACTAGACAGGACTCCAATCAATTCTGTGAGTCATCAGACAAAAAATCGATGAACATTTGACCTCAACGCCCCCAAAAAATTCATCATGTGGGAAAATCAGATGATTTCATAGAAATTAATGTTTATCAAAATCAAACCCATTTATTTGTTCCTCATTTATTGGGGGTTCAATCATCATATAACAAGAAGATAACTTCACAATAGCATTAAAAAACGAAACTTTTTTACAAAAAAGCAGGTAACTTTTGGAGGATGATGATTGATGAAGGGGGGTAGGCTAAGTACTTTAACATTTTGGAAGCTAATGCATGGCCGATTAAAAGAAACACAGAATATGCAATAAACTAGCAAGCAAAACTCAAATCAGTTTCAGATCATGTGTGTTGCAGAGAAAGGAGGGAATACCAAGAGAGTAACGATTGTAGCACCAAGCTTACCTTAGCTTTGCTTGGATGTTGCAGGTGTGCCAAGGAACGTGGCCGTTTCTTTTTATCTTCTTGAAGAAGCTTGAAGGGGGAAGGAATTTGAGCAGGGCTAGGAGGGGGGCACCTGTACATACAGTAGCAGAAGTGTTCAATTCAAAGGAAAATAGAGTTGGAATAATAGCAGTCAAAATTCCTG